ACGTGACATAATTATGTTCTCACTGTTTCGAATTTTTCGTATTTTTAGGAATCCAGACGTCTCAAGATGCCAGATTTTATGAACTGTCAGCAAAAATACCGAAACCTTTTGGAAACGAAGGGAAGGATCTAGTCATTCAGTTTACCGTTAAGCACGAACAGCGGATCGATTGTGGCGGTGGGTACATCAAACTGCTTCCGGCTGACGCTGATCTTGAGAAATTTAATGGCGATACACCGTACTTCATTATGTTCGGTAAGGTTTTTGCTTATTTTCATAGTATTTTATAGGAATAAAAGATTACAGTGTTATAAATTAGAATACTTAGAAACAATTTTGTTCATGGTAGAACATAAAAATAGTTCAATTTTGATGCAGTGGATTCCGTTAAAGCTTATCCATCTGTATAGAATGTTTGTAAGTAAAATTTTTTAATAGTAATTTTTTAATATATGGACACTGTTAAACCAAAATTGTATGAGAGCATTCCATGATTTCCTCCATGTCTGAGTTAGAGTTAGTAACAAATATAACGTATAACGTGTAACCGCATTTAAATGAGAATGAAGAAATCATCAAAGCTATACAATTTTTGTTAAGTCCTCTTTTTTAAAGGTTGTTTTCTTTGAAGAGGTTTTACATCTTCAGTTGTACAAAGCAGTTACATTCATGTTCCATGGCTACATTTTATTGTGAAATTGTTTCCTGTGGCTGTGCGCAGAGGAAGTTTTTGTCGTCATTAACGCACATTTTTGTATTTACTCCTTTTCGAGATGGAATACTATTACTCAACAGAGAATAACAATTCAACATGCTTGAGATTAGTTTGCAAAGGTGTAGAGCGTAAACAATTACCCATTAAAATTCCTCATATCCTCATATTGATCTACTGAGTCTGAACGTTGCCAGGTTTTCAACGCTGCCCTAGCGGTTGGTGAGCATGCATATACTATTTTATTTCAGCAATTTCTGACATTCTGTATTTTTACTCCATACTATGAATACTGCGAACGAGTCGCTCAGTATGGAAAGACCCAACCTTATTTATATTCACCGGTGCGTCGATTTACGAACGTAATTCCTACCATGAAATCTGTTGATAATATAAAAGGTGTAAATCGAAAAAATAAATTTGCAGTGATTTCAATTATTAGATTATTTAATCACAAATGCAGCTGCCATGTTGAAAGAGATAAGGCAGCCTCAATTTTTTTATATGCTGGGAGCTGCGATGTTCCTGTCTATTCTTTCCGAAGGCAGGTTCTTCGTTGAAACTCGTAAATCCGGGTATAGTGTATTTCGAAAATAGACCATTTGTTTTGATTTATATTACAAATGCAGTCTGCTATAAAGGTATTTTATACGCTGTATTTATTACGCAAATAATATTTTGGTATTTATTATTTGTGTGATGTTAAAGTTTTCTTGCTAATTTTATTTATTTTCTTTTTCGTGCCGTGCGTTTGCTTTTTTTTGCGTATGACCGACTTAGAACAAACTATTTTCATAGGTCTTGCTTTAACAGTTATAATTTTAATTCTAAACTTGTTTCAATAGATATTGAACGTTAGGGCTTAAACGGGCATTTATAGTGCGGAACATGACTTGCGATCGAAGGAAAAATGAACTCTAAATTATAATGCATAATGATTTAAGGTCCAGACATATGTGGCCCAAAGAAAAAGGTCCATGTAATCTTCAACTATAAAGGAAAGAATCATCTGATCAAAAAGGAAATTAGCTGCAAGGTACGTAAGTGAGAAAATGAACGCAATGACGCATCGCAAAGCTATTTTTTTAGGATGACGAATTCACTCATCTGTATACGCTGATTGTTAAGCCCAACAACACATACGAGGTTTTGATCGATAATGAATCTCAGGAAAAAGGTAACCTCGAAGATGATTGGGATTTTCTGAAGCCAAAGGAAATAAACGATCCAAATGCGAAGAAGCCACAAGTATGAAAGAACTGTTGTAAAGTGACGGTTACGGGTATATTATGAATTATAATTTTTGTAGGATTGGGTCGACGACGAATACATAGATGATCCAGATGATAAAAAACCAGAGGTCGGTCATCAACTAAATTATTTTCTTTTATAATTAGTATTTTCATTTGTTTCCAGGACTGGGATAAGCCTGAACACATCCCTGACCCGGATGCCAAAAAGCCTGATGACTGGGATGACGAGATGGACGGCGAATGGGAACCTCCACAGATAGATAATCCAGACTTCAAAGTTCGCAGGATACCATGTTTGGTTTATTCCTTTTTCAGTAACGTGTACTTTAGGGTGAATGGAAACCGAAACAAATGAAGAACCCAGCATACAAAGGTCCTTGGATACATCCAAAAATCGCGAACCCAGAGTACATGCCAGACGATACATTGTACAAATACGACAATATCGGTGCTGTTGGTTTTGATCTGTGGCAGGTGGGTGGAATGATTTTTTGAACAAGTTTCCTGTAATAAGATGTTTTACTATAGGTTAAATCAGGAACTATCTTCGATAATATAATAATTACTGACGATCCGGAAAGAGCTAAGTCGTTTGGTGAAGAAACGTGGGGTAAAACAAAGGTAAAGTAGTTCCCTGATTCAGGCGTTTTGGATCTAGTTGCGTATTTATATTGTAGGGTCCTGAAAAAGAAATGAAAGAGAAACAGGACAAAGAGGAAGAAGAAAAAATGAAAGCTGAAGGTAATTAGTGTCTGGTGATTCTGCACTGTTTCCTGTGCAAGCTATTTGTAATATGTAATTTCACGTTGATTCTGAGCGAAATTTAAGTATTCTTGAATTGTAGCTGAAAAAGAAAAAGCCAAAGACAGCGAAAAGGAAGAAAAAGATGAAGATGACTTAGAAGAGAAGGAAAAGAAAGATGAAAAAGAGAAATCGGAAGAAGAGGAGCATAAACATGCTGATGAGCTCTGAACCGTGTTACTTCTATTCTGTTTTTATATATTCGAAGGGAATGTAAACGGTAGCCCCATTGCGCTCGGTGTAGCATTCGTCTACCGTCTCATTTGTAAAAGTTCAAGTTGTTATTTGTTTTTGTTGATTTGTTCTATCGTAAAACCTGCTCCTAATGTTTATCGGAAGATCGTGCTCTACGGGTTTGCACACCATCGGTTGTTCATGGAGGTTAGTTGCTTTTTCAGTTGGCTGGTTATTCAGTAAATATACAACAGTTTTAAATCGTTCAGTTTCATATTGGTTGTGTTAGCTAGTTTACGGTTAGTCGATTTTGAAGCGGAGAAATGATGCGGTCTTAAGATTGTTTCAGTTTATGTTGATAAACGATCCATTCATAGTTTATAGCTGTGGTGGGTTGCACTGACATATAGTTGAATTATGGTTTGTAACGCGGTTTGGAAACGATTTAGGTACTTCTTGGAAAGAATGTATTTTGTAACAGTGTTAGATATTCTTAATCGGTAGGCAGTGCGTTACTTAGTCGTTACTTTTTCCATTAGCTCTGATAAACTCCTATATTCCTTTGTTTGAGAAGTTTTTTGCCAAAATGTTATTGCTACCTTTCCTTTTTAGAGAACAGCAGTCTTAGCGAACGCTGTACAGTTCACAGCAGATGGAAACTAAGTTAATGTTTATTTAGCACATCTTACGGAGAAGGATTTTGGAAAAATTACGTTAATTCTGAATTTCATCGCTTTGGACAAGTGCCGTAAAAAGTTGTAAAAGTTCAATTTATTTGTTTTCGTTGATTTGTCCTATCGTAAAACCTGCTACTATTGCTTATCGGAAGATCGTGGTCTACGGATGCTTGGGTTTCATTAATGCTCCTTTGTATTTTCGACCCTCTAGCTTATGTCACTCAACTTTCCGTGGTTTTCTTGATGCAGCCTGTCATCATCTTTCGTTGAAACTACGTGGAAAGGTACCATAGTTTCTTTCGACGATGCTCCACTATCCGTCACAGTGTTAACCCGAATTGTTCTTTTACATAGATTGAACCTTTTGACTTACTTTGATGTAAATAATTACGGCAAGATCTAGTGTCGTGTAATTTCTGAGCATCTAAGAAATGTAGCTTTTGTTCCTTCGAATTTGGCGTTCCTGACATTAAAATAGAAATAAAAGTAGTTAAATATGTGTATAGACAGTAATAAAGATTATGAGCTGGAGCGAAACTAGTGAAGCAGTTATTTATCATATTGTAATCGGATGCAAACCACATTCCTTAGCAAAGAAAGAGATGGCTACCGTTTCGTTTGTGTTCACAGTGAGGCGAACTGATACCAGTATGTCGTTCAGGTAGAGTACCACTTAGCTCTGGTAAATCTTGTCCAAAATGGAAATGAACATGCTGTTTGCATCAAGGTAAAATTTCATTCTGCCGTTCTAATCGATGAAATTCGCTGTAAGAGGCTTAAAGCTTTACGCAAAGAAGAATTGTTGCTCTTGGCACGTGTCTGAAATTTCAGTGTCTTAGGAGAAGGTATCAGTGGACTGGAGAACAGTGGTTGTAGCGCCCCTGTTGAAAAGACTATAATGAATGTTCCAGTTATCGGAACAGTATCTTATACCTTCCGGTAAAGGTCTGCATAATAGTGTTAGAAAGTAGGTACAGTAACTAGCTAAGATAAGATATGCGGATTCATGTCACACTATAACACCTGATTTGATCAGCACCCTACTCCAGATTGTAGAGTTGGGAGATGACTAATGTGTTCTGTTGACCTGGAAATGTGTGACAGGATCTTGCCACCAGCCATCCAGTTCCTCTATATTGACAGTAGGTGCTGCATCAGTAAACGGCGTTAAGTCGAGACCTTTCCGCTTTGTTCCTTTTTCTGCTTTAGTTATATGTTGATAGAATGTTCAGGCACTGCCTAGGCGAAGTGTATGAGCGTAGAAGTCGAGAAGGTTGCTGTTAGCAGGCGACCTTGTTTTATTGCAATATTCTGAAGCTGATCCGCAGTGTACCCTTGAAAGGTTCATAGACTAGTATGACGTACGTTTAAACGTGTTCTTAGTTAACGCAGTCATATCTTTTCTTTGTCCACCCCGTTGTGTTCTACGGTCTATGATGTCCACCTCGGGATCGACCGGTGAATTGAAATGGTCAGCATCGTTCTTCGTGTACTGTTTTGAACTGCTGTGACTAAGCAAAGCAAAGTCTGAAGACAGCGATTTTCATCCCTATGCTTAAATGCGGTCATGAGTCGTGGGCCATGACTGAACACTTTCAATTTCAGGTACAAGCGGTTGAAATGGGGTTTCTACGTCGCTGAGTTCATGCCTGCCTCCACATGGTTCGGAGTTCAGATATCTGACAGTTCTTGGTGTACAGCCATTGCTTTTGCTGATTGATAAGTCGCAGTTGTGAAAGTTTGAGCACATCCTTTGAATGCGTCTAGAAAGGAAGGCAAA